CAGGATGTTCACAATATTTTGATCCGCTTTGTATTCTTTTTAAATATTAGACACAACTGACAAAGACTTTTTACTGCAGTCTAGCTTAATTTACTTTTTTCAAAAAGTTTTAAGTTCTTTTCTTATTGTTTCAGCTCATAGCTCTTTTGTTTCTCTTTCAGTTATCCAGGTAGCTAATTCTAAGGTCTGCAAACATTTTAACTGAAGGCCTGCTTGCATGATGAGACTTTTCAAGTTTTGCTGCAGAAGGAAACAATTAACGGATCATACTCTAGCACTGGTAATGCAGTTTCATTTATCATATCGCTGATCTGTAAGTGACTCGTCTTAACACAAAACTAGCGGCTCTGAACTAAAGCAGCCCAACCCAAAGCAATTTTGTTGTATAGAAACAAAGTTGGGGAATTATCAGGTGAGATGAATTATGACCGTAGATGTTTGGACTTTTTGTTTCAGTTATGTTTCTGTTTTGCTCCTTTCTTCATTGCTTATTTCCTCATATCTTACCATTTTGTGTCATCCCTTCTCACTGTTATTCTCACTGTTTGTGCTTTGGGTTTGTTTCTTTAGATGAAAGTTTATTTCTGTTTTTGTTTGTTTGTATTAGGTTCAGGTTTCTTTCCCCCTTTTCATTCTCTTTGCTTTCACCTTCCCTCTGCCTGCCAGCTCTTGTCTATCATCTTATCTCTCAGCTGCATTCACTCACCTCTGATTAGCCCCTGTCATTTCCATACTCCTTCCTCAGTAAATATACAGCTTACTCAGTTCATCGTTCAATTCACTTCAGTTTATTTATACAGCCCCAAATCACAACAAATATCATCTTGAGGCACTTTACAGCAGAAGTCATTTTACATTCTAGTTTATTGTAGTTATTAAAGAATATGTTCAGCTTATTCATATTAGTTTAAGACATTCCCATCTAAGGAAACCCAGCAGAGCATTTATTCATTGACTTGTAGCTTTCTCTCCTCCTGGACGACACTGTAGCCACAATCGCTTGCATTCTGTCGTTGACTTTACAGCGATTCTTCACACCAAGCATGCATGCAGCGACAGTGGAGAGGAAAAACTCCCCTTTCACAGGAAGAAACCTCCAGCAGAACCAACGTGGCTCAGTACATGCAGCCGACTGGAGGTTTGAGAGAGCAGAGCAGAGCCGTGTTTGTGTTGCCTTTCTTCTGGTCTTCGCTTCACGTCTCTTGTCTTTCGTTCTGCAAGTCATTCTGCTGCTCTCATTAAATGTGCACGGTGCTCACCCTGAAATAATTATGTGCACTTAATGGTGTACTCATTTCTAATAGGATATTTTTTCACACAAATAATTTATATGTATGGGCATTTTTCTATTAAAAATCAAATCTGTATATAGGCTTGAACTAGAGATACTGTAATAACTTTGTGTTCATTAACTGTTCAAATACACATCGAATAAAACCAGGTTGGACTAAAATTAGCTGAGATTTAGTCATTCAGCTCCTCAGTTTAAACAATGTTCACACGATGAGTCAATATGAATATCTTCTACCTAACGTTGGTCCAAAGTGCAAAATGTTGCCTCTCCCAGTAAAGAGTGACCACAGAGAAGCTTAGGTTGGGCCAGCATCCAACATGACAACAGCAATACCTCAGATGTTTTAATTGTTCTGTTTTCCTCCAATAAAATACGTCTTTAGATCAGAGGCTAATTTCTTTACATCACAAAAGCGTCAGATGAGTCAGACTTCAATATCTGCAGTGTAAGAATCAGTTTGACTGATTTCCTAAACCAGGGATAAAACAGGGCGTAGATCAGAGGGTTCAGGGTGGAATTAAAATAAAACAGAAGAAAAGTCACAGATGAAGCACTGACCGCTGCATCTTCTGCCATAAGAATAACACAGAAATATGGGCAGGTGCACATCAGAAACACAACGACGACAACCCCAAGTGTTACTGCTGCCTTCATTTCAGACTTCTTAACTGTGACTTTCACTGAGCCCTGGAGTGAGACCACTGCAACGTGAGACTGCATGGCTCGAGCCTGAGACACAACCACTACAAAGACTCTGACATACAGAATGAGGATGGCAGAAACTGGACCGATGAAAGACAACAAAAGATCCACTATTCCTCCAACATAATCTAGGACAACTACACACTCTCCAAAGCAGGAATTATACCTGCCTGGTTTTTGCAGGCTGTCTTTCAGGAGAAGGCTGTGACAAAGAAAAGCAATCATCCAACACAGTGAAACGCACATCTTCGCTCGTTCTGTAGTGACTTTGCTGGAGTAGTGCAGGGGGTAACAGATGGCCACGTAACGATCAACTGAAATGAGCACCATGGTTCCTATTGAGGCAGTAGTGATAATATAATCCAAAATAAAGTAAATGGCACACATGATGTCCCCAAGATACCAGCAGCCGTCTATCAGCACTATCTGGAATGAAATGAGGAATCCCACCAGGCAGTCTGAGACAGCCAGAGAGAGCAGCAGGATGTTGGTGGGGCTGTGGAGCCTCCTGCAGAAATGAGAAAACAACCCACTTGTAATCTAAAACAGCTACGTTTGTAATTTCAAAACAAATAAGGTCAGAGTGACACATCCACAATCTATTGTTTGAAACTGTTTTCGAAAGGCAAAGTCTGTCATTACTTAAAGTGGGAGATGGAGATGATGACCAGCAGGTTGAGTGTCACAGTGAGGAAAGAGATGAATGACAGAGCAATGTAAATCAACAACGATACTGAGGGAGGATGCATGGTCTTGCTGCACGATGCATTGAGGTGCTGTGGAAAGCAAAGCTCAGCTTCTTCAGAGTCTTTCATCGTTAGACAGCAGAACAGAAGCTACTGAAGTCTGTCTTATGAAACTATTAGACAAATCATCTCTCTCTCTCTCCGGTGCAATGTACCAGAGGCGGGACTTAAACAGTGTGTTACTCAGATTCTACTGTGCAATGAATTTATGCAAATTAGACAGGCCTATTCTCTGTTTTCAAATCACTTCTTAGAAGTTAAGCGTGTTACCTTGTTACTCTGCTCTTTGACTGCATTTGAGATACTTTATTTAGTTTTTTTTGTGTTTTATCTGTATGGCTGCTCTTATCCCTGGCTTATGTTTCTTAATGGCCATACTTATAAAGATTTCCTGTGTAAATGCAGACTTTTGACTCATTTTGGTCTTTTTAAAATACATGGCACTTTGATTCTGTGTGACGTTTGAAATATCTTTATATATGAAGCTGGATTGTATTATACAGCACATACAATTTCACATCCAAATTTTGTGGGAACCGTTTGGGGATGATGGCCCCTGAAGTAATAGTAGGGTTCTTTTAATCAGCTGCTGTGTGAACTGATAAAAGATGCTGGTAAAAACCCCAGCTAGCTGGTCCTCACAGTCCCTCACATTCTCTGCCCTCAGCATTCTCCGTACAGTGATGGTCTGGCTATGGAGGGATGACCGCTGCAGTATCTGGGCTCTGCTGGTGATTCAGCCGTGAGAGGTCATCGACTCCGACACTTCTTTAAACACTTTTTTGTTGTGAGTCTTTTCATCTAGCTCTCTCTTAAATTTGCCGTACGCCACCAAGCACATAAAAAAAGCATTGGACCACGGTGTGGGTTTCGGTGTTGCCATTATTGCTTTTAAAAACTTCAAAATGGGTTGAGTCCCTCCTCTGAGTTCTTATTAACAAATTTGCCACATTAACGAATGGCAAATTTGTGATGGTTGCAACCAGTAACTCCAGTAAGCAATCAGTGACAGTCTTCTGATGTTGGGTGCCCTTGGAAGCACAGAGCTCTAGAAGCACAGGTGGAAAAATATCATTCCAGTCCAGTTTCTTGATTCTTGTATGGTTGATTATTTTTATTGGCTTTATATTTTACCTTTAATAATGTTCAGATAAATGCACCTTCATGTGTAGTATAGCTTCCTGTTTAGCCAGTCATAACTCAGTGCTATATGTAGCAATCCCTGCGTGTTTTAGGATCCTGAAATAGTTTATACAGAATTAAAAGGCTCTCTGGACACAATGAAATCTGTGCTGACACAAAAGGTAGAAAAAAAAAGATCCACAATTGTGTAATAATTCCAATAACAATGATCCATTAAAAAAAATGTGTTGTCTCTTGAAAGATTTATTNTATATATATATATATATATATATATATATGTCTTATAAGACCATTTTTACAGAGTGCAAATTGATGCACCTCTAACCCACATGAGGATATAAAACTCTTACTAAACAACACAATATGTTTTTCTACTTTTGAACGTTTTTTTTCTTTTTACATTTCACAAATGGTTTTGTTAATAAAGTACAAAACAATATGTAACCATGATATTTACAGTGTGGTTAACTAAAACTAGCCATAATGGACACTTTAACTATGTTGACAGTTTATTAACAGACCTGTCCGGCGGATGAACACTTGGAGGCATATTTGTGCATATAAAACTGTGCAGTCAGTCAGCACTACATTCAACCAACACGCCATGTGTGGAGTTTTTGTCAGCTGGTGAATCTGATCTGTACTGAAAAGAACCTTAACACTCTTTCAACATTTATCACATCACACACACCTCAGTTATTTTCCCTAAAAACCTGCTGCTTACATGAGAAAACAGATTCATCAATGTTTCAGTTCAAAACTGCATTTAATCACACTTGTGCAAGTTTGTGAATAAGTTTATTCTTTATATCTCCAGCTTATTTTGTAACACCTCGATCTGGTGAAGGCGGGTATTGAAGGAGGGGTTCGGATATTTTGGGATTTGGATATTGACTTTTATTTTTATAGAGTTCAGGTCATATTTTTCTGAAATTGGTTCATCTATGTTTAGTTTAGTTGGTAAAAGACAAAATCTTCAATGTATTCCTACGGTGGAAGCACACACTTTTATTAAACTCATTATTTTATTGGGCCTTTAATATAAAATTCCAATATCAGGAAGAGTTCCTCTGTATCTTCATCTTTGCACATTTAAATCTTTATCTCATTGTGCTTCAAACCACATTAGTATTAGAAGAACCAGTTTTCAGGATCTGCAGTGTAAGAATCAATTTGACTGATTTCCTGAACCAGGGATAAAACAGGGCGTAGATCAGAGGGTTCAGGGTGGAATTAAAATAAAACAGGAGGACAGGCACGGATGAAGCGCTGACCCCAGCATCATCAGCCAGGAGTGCGACACAGAAATATGGGCAGGTGCATATCAGAAACACAACTACCACAACCCCAAGTGTTACTGCTGCCTTGATTTCAGACTTTTTAGCTGAGACGCTCACAGAGACCGCTGCGATGTGAGACTGCATGGCTCGAGCCTGAGACACAACCACCACAAAGACTCTCGCATACAGAATAATGATCACGGCGACAGGACCAACGAAGGACAGCAGAAGGTCAAGGATCCCTCCAACATAATCAACACCAACTACACACTCTCCAGAGCAGGAGTTGTACCTGCCTGGCTTTTGCAGGTTACTTCTCAGCAGGAAGCTTTGAAACAGAGCAGAAGAAATCCAACAAATGACAGCACAAATTTTTGCTCTCTCTGCTGTGACTTTGCCGGAGTAGTGCAGAGGGTGACAGATGGCCACGTAACGATCAATGGATATGAGCACCATGGTTCCTATTGAGGCAGTAGTGATAATATAATCCAAAATAAAGTAAATGGCACACATGATGTCCCCAAGATACCAGCAGCCGTCAATTAGCACTATCTGGAATGAAATGAGGAATCCCACCAGGCAGTCTGAGACA